TTTGGCCAACATGGGTCTGGCTCAGGTCAATCCTCTGGTTTTGGCCAACATGGGTTTGGCTCAGGTCAATCCTCTGGTTTTGGCCAACATGGGTCTGGCTCAAGCCAATCCTCTGGCTTTGGACAACATGAGTCTGGCTCAGGTCAGTCCTCTGGTTTTGAACAATATGGGTCTGGCTCAGGTCAGTCCTCTGGTTTTGGACAACATGGCTCTGGTTCAGGCCAGTCCTCTGGCTTTGGCCAGCATGGGTCTGGCTCAAGCCAGTCCTCTGGCTTTGGACAACATGGGACTGGCTCAGGTCAGTCCTCTAGTTTTGGACAACATGGCTCTGGCTCAGGTCAGTCCTCTGGTTGTGCACAACATGGCTCTGGCTCAAGCCAGTCCTCTGGCTTTAGACAACATGGGTCTGGCTCAGGTCAGTCCTCTAGTTTTGGACAACATGGGTCTAGCTCAAGACAGTCCTCTGGCTTTGGCCAGCATGGGTCTGGTTCAGGTCAGACCTCTGGCTATGGACAACATGGATCCAGCTCAGGTCAGTCTTCTGGCTTTGGCCAATATGGGTCTGGCTCAGGTCATTCCTCTAGTTTTGGACAGCATGGGTCTGGCTCAGGCCAATCCTCTGGCTTTGGTCAACATGGGTCTGGCTCAAGTCAGTCCTCTGCCTTTGAACAACAAGGGTCTGGTGCAGGTCCATTTTCTAGCTCTGGACAACATGGGTCTGGGACAGGTCAATCCTCGGGCTCTGGACATGGATCTAGCTCACATCAGTCCCCTAGCTTTGGGACTGGCTCAGGTCATTCTTCTGGCTTTGGACAACATGAGTCTAGATCAGGTCAGTCTAGCTGTGGTCAACATTGTTCCACTTCAGTGCAATCCTCCAATTTTGGCCAAGGATCCTGCTCAGGAAAGTCCTCTAACCCTGATCAACATGCTAGCACAAGTCAGTCTTCTACTTATGATCAACATGGGTTTAGCTCAGGGGAATCTTCTGGATATGAACAACATGAATCTAGGGTAAGGGGAAAAGAAAGCTCTCACACTAGTTCAGGAAAAGAGGGTCCAAAATATGGAAGACCCATATCAGATTCAGCCCACACTCAGATAAGAGAAACAGCCCCAAGGAAAACTACTCAGAGGGATAATGAGAGAAACAAGAGACACAGTACAACAGCAAAAGAGACTGAAGATCATGACAGCATTCATGGACATAGCCAACAAAGGCAAGGATCAAGTCAGGACAGAAGGACTTCTACAACACAGCACACGAAACATAACCACAAAAATGACAGTCAAGCCCAGACAGATAAATGGGAGACATATTCAGCAACTACCCGGGAGCATTATGAAAATGACCATGAAAAATCAGGAGGAATTCCCACAGGTAAAAATGAAAGATCTACTCAGAGACAGGCAGGAGACAACACAAGAC